ATAAAGTGCCTCTTACTCTATATCTCTTCACACGTTCTCTATTTTTGGATCAGTGCCATTCTCCATAATCACACAAAACCAAACCCTAAGACGAAGAAGATGGCAAAATTTAAGAAGCAAGATCCGACCCATGCCATGGCTTAGGCAAATTTTCCAGATGAACACTTATATTCGCCTTCCAACGCCTCATCAATACACTTGGTACCCCCAAAGCACCAGACCAAACCGAGATTACAGAAGTATGTTTTCTGGAAATGTTTTGCGATTTGTGTACTTCTTTTGAAAACTATTTTAGGTGAAAAATAGGATCGGTTCGAAATTGATCTTTGAATTTCGTTTATAGTTGCTTTATTTTTGCCTGTTTGCTATATGCAAGTTAAAAAAAATTCTTTCAAGAAACAAATTTGTCGAACATTTTAATATTTTTCTTGAAGTTTTCTTATTTATGATTATTATTATTGAATTTGGAATTTTCGGTTCCCGAAAGGTGGTTCCATTTTGATAGTAATGGCTTGGTTTCGTATAGCACGGTGAAGTGGGCGTCACCTGTGGAGTTCGTGACGGGTGGTCTTGGATTCGAGATGCATTAGTGGGATCGGCGAAATCCTGGTGGCCCTGTGGTGCAGCAGTTCAAGGGAAATTGGTAATTTTGAAAATGATTTTAAATACTGTTTACCGATTCTTTTACAGTACTATGTTAAATTCTTTTGATGTTTACCTTGTGGATGGAGTCTAAAAGAAGGTGTAGCTGCATTCCAAGAAATACAGAAAATGGTATATGCTTCCTCTCTTACTTTGCATTTGATTTATTTGTTTAACAAACAGGAATAGTTTTGGAGAAAAAAAAAAGTGTTCTTCGTTTGCTTATTTTCCTTCTACATTATAAATGTTTGACACTCTTTTGTGATGTAGGTTCTCCTACCATAAAAATGACAACCAATTTCAAGCGAATTCTAGATATTGCACAACGAGAAATTGGATAGACTTGTATAGTTGTGGTTGTAGAAAAAAAAGCCTGTGAACAAGAAATTGCGTTACCACTTTTAAAATCTATGGAGGTCGTTTCATCTTTTCTTAGAAAATGACACGTGTTGCTAAATTTTACTATGTGATATGCTGGGTTTGAATACAACTATAGTATTTCTTCAAGAATTATCCAACAACTCATTTGCAGATCCTAGCTTACTTGGATGCACTAATAGTCAACATAAATGCTTCTAACTCATTTACATTAACATAGCTTCTGTTTTGAGTATGTGAACAGATTATACATCATCCACGTGGATTTTGTCGTGCAGACAAAGATTAGAATGATGTGTCCATGAGATTTACAAGTGATCTATGAAAAAATGTTCTTTTAATAATTGTTACCATTACTGAAATGGAGGCATGGTCACCGTTAATTGTACGAGTTCATTTCCTGTTAACCATCCCGTGACTATCTTTTTCGTGAAAGTTTTTCCCCCTTAATATTGGCTTATCTGTATTATTATGACATTCTCTGTGATATTTGCAGCTTTTTCTCTGGCCATTTTTGTTGAAAATGATCAAACCGAAGACATATACTGGTGCAGTTACCACGGTAAGAGATAGATTACACAAGTACATGTAACTGCGTATGCTATTTTAAAATGGTTCCTAATAATGTGATCTTCCTTCTATTTTAATGTGATTCTGAATATTGTAGGTGGGTAATGGAGTTTTATAATTGTAAATGGGTGTTTTTTGGCAATGTCTAAGCTAGCG